GCTCTCACATCAGGTTTTTGAGGTCTCTCTGCTGATTTTTTGCTTCTCTCTATCCATGTTCTGCTGGGGTTGGGGAGGGACAAGGGTAGGTGAGTGGAGTCAGGAAGGAAATCCAGTGGTCTAACTGCTCCTCAGTTGGACTTGCTCTAAAATTTGGAGTTCTGGAATGCTGTGGACCGTTAAGAGCTGTGACCTTCTGGAGCGCCTGAGTCTTTGTGGGGGGTTGCCCTTGAAAGGGATTGTGGGACCTCTCTGGTCCTACATTCAGGAATGACACCCACTCCTGCCCTGGTCCCCGGTGGCAGCCATGCCAGTGATCTCCGAGGTGAACCTCCAGCATCGTAAAGGAAACCTCTCTCTGCGTCACAAGGAGTCTGCGCCGGGCACTGTGCTGTGGAGACGGGGGCTGACCAGCACCGTCAGGATCAAGGTGCGGAGAGGCTATTCGCTTTCTGTGCTGCTAGATGAATAACCACAGGTGTAGTGGCACAGACCATGGTCTTTTCTCGTGTTTCTACAGGTTGGAAGAATGATGTGGGCTTCACTGGGCTAAAACCACGTTGTTGGGAGCTGGCTTTGCTTTCCCAGGGCTGCAGTGGCACACCCATGTCCTGGCTTATTCAGGCTTCAGCCTACTCAGTTCCGTGTGGCTGCAGGACGGGGGCCTCTGCTCCCCGTTCCCAGATTCTACACACCATTTATGTTCCTGGGCTCATTCGAGGTCGAGGCGCGTCTCTGGGACTTTTTGTGTGTGTCCCCCTGCTGTCCTCAGGTCTCTCTCTGATCATAGTGGGTGTGTGGTTATGGGATTCACGTGATCAGGTTGGTCCATCTGCAGTGCCCAGGAGACATACTCAGCACCCTTGGGCAGATCAGCAAAGACCCTTGAGTGATGTAAGGTAGTGGGTTATGGGCTTTGGGGGTTAGACAGTACACGTTGGGAATGACATTATTCAGCCCACCATGCAGGTAAAAGCACCACCTAATCACCACGTTTAACCGGACGTCCCTACTGGTAAGTTCCTAGGGAAGGCTCAGGAGATGATGCGAGACAGGGCAGGGTGGTATGCCTGTAATCCAAGCTCCAGGGAACTGGGGAAGGAGGGGAGTGAGTTTGGGGCCAGCATACACGGGCTACATAGAAATTCAAGGCCAGCCTGAGCAATTTAGTGAGACCCTGTCTCAAAACCAGACAAACAAAAACAACAAGGCAGGGCTCAAAAGCCACACTTATGGGAAGGTGAAGATGTTTTAATGTTTCAGCACAGGAGATGCTAAGAAACCGGAGATGAGAAACCGCTGATGTGCAAACAGCTAATACATTTTTATGTATAAAATAGAGCAAATGTGTTTTGACTGAATTAAGAAGGAAAAACTAAGATTAAAGAAAGCCATAAGGAGGTAGATTTTAGCTCAAAAAGATAGTGCTGATCAAATACTACGTGATTAGACAAGGTTGTCTGTTGTCACCACTCCTGTTCAATATAGTTCTGGAACCACTAGCCAGAGCAATAAGACAGGAGAGAGAAATAAAAAGAATAAGGATAGGAAAGGAAGGAGTAAAACTATCACTATTTGTAGATGACACGATACTTTACATGGAAGACCCCAAAACCTTCACAAGAATACTCCTTGAATTAATCAACAAATTCAGCAGTGTAGCTGGATACAAAGTCAACACCCAGAAATTGATAGCATTTCTGTACACAAACAACAAACAGACTGAGAGAGAAATTAAGGAAACCATACCTTTCACAACAACATCCAAGAAATTGAAATATTTAGGAATCAATCTAACAAAAGAAGTAAAAGATTTCTTCAATGAAAACTAAAGTACTGTGAAAAAAGAGATTGAAGAAGATTTCAGTAAATGGAAAAATATTCCTTGCTCATGGATA